AATCCGTGCGCACGGATTTCCGGCGGCTGTTTTTCTTTTTTCACCACTGACCCCCGGCGGGCTCCGTATTTTTGTTAGCACTTTTGCTAATTTAAATTTGCTAAACCAGTTGAATTGTCAAACAACAGTGGAAATTCTGTTGTCATATGGTATGGCAAGTCATTTTAGCATAAAATCGGATTCACAACACAAATCCAGATATCTGTAATTGAATTATGACTAGTCATATTTGTTATTTAAAATAGCTCTAATCATATTTTTACTAGCCAAAAAAAAAAGTATTTGAGCTATCTCTAATCACCTTTTGACTATAAATCAGTGGTTCTCAAACCTTTTGGGTCTGGGGACCCTTTAAAACAGTGGTTCTTAACCTTTTTTGAGGTACCGAACCCACCAGTTTGGTATGCGCATTCACCGAACCCTTTTTAGTGATGTATAAAATATGATTTTCCACCCAAATTTAAGACATAGGTATATGCTTTTCTAAACTGGTGTATAAAATGAGCTGTGCATGAACATCAATCACCTTGCTCAAAGAACAAAACCAACACAGTGTGTGGACTCACAACAAATTACAGTATTTTGTTCTGTTAAGTTAATTAGTTTTTTGTCGTTTTGAATCCACAAAATACTTTTTTGGGGCCAGCACTGATTGGCCAAGCAATCTCACGTGATCCTCTGCAGCAAGTGATGGCCAAGCGGGGAGTGTCATCACGACTTTACACAAGTGTGCCTTTACCTCTGTGGCAGAGGCTCCGTCGAACCCCTGAGACCGGCTCATCGAACCCCTAGGGTTCGATCGAACCCAGCTTAAGAACCACTGCTTTAAAATGACGAAAAAAAAAATTCCAGGGACCCCCTCATAAACCCCATGCTGTTTTAAAAGATAATTTGTTGTTTCAACCCCTAAATGCCATGGGAAGATATATTTTTATTTAGTTTATTATGTTTGTTTTATTAGTTCATTGTTCTTCATGTATTAAAAAAAATAAAAACCTAGTTAACAATTTAGTGAATTTTTTTAAGGACCCCAAAGATACCCCTCACGGACCCCAGATTGAGAACCAATGGTATAAATGACATCAGATTTACCATTGAGATCTATGGAGGCTCCAATTTATGATATCTTAAAAGGAATTTTGACTAGTCAAAATTACAGTTCAAGATCTAAGTTAGTTTTAAATAGTCATTATTTGCTTTTGATTTATCTCACTTTTAATTCTTACTAGTCATAATTCAATTAAAGATAGCTTAAATGGCATCATTATTCAAGATATCTTAAATATACATAAAGATTTGACTATTGCCAATTCAATTACAGATATCTTGAAAGCAAATAATGAGTAGTCAAAACTAACTTTGAAATCTAGTACTGTAATTATAACTAGTGTAGGGGTTCCCCAAAGGGGAAAATAAACATTTCCACTTGTCTTTGAC